TCCTGTAAAATTTACCTTTTGTCGCTTACGATAAAAGCATAATCAGATGTCGATTTGTCCTAATGTATGCATAAAACTTCACATTTTAGGTAGCCGTACACAATGGATGCATATACGTTTTAGGTGGATATCTAGAAAATAAAACAGTCGAGCGTTATGATCCTCAAAGTAACAAATGGACAAAGGTTGGTTGAAATAGTTACACAAAAAATTTAAAAACACCAAAACACAATTTTTTATTACTTTTCATAGATGTGCTCTTTGAAGGTTGAACGTGGTTCCATGGGTTGTGTTTTTGTAGGTGATCAACTCTGGGCTGTTGGAGGCTGGATCTCAGAGTCCGTGTCAGTTTATAATGCCGAATGTGATGAATGGGTCGAAAAGAAACCAATACCTGAACTAGGTGAATACAGGTGTTATGTTGTGCCTAAAGCTTTACTTCAATGTGAATAAGAGATAAGGAAATTTACAAAGTACTTTGTTGAAGACTTACTAGAGATCAATGTATTTATTTTGCTAACGCAACTTTTAATTTTCACCTTATCTTGAACATGAATTTTAGTTTAATGGTTTCTATTACTTTAAAATATGTTTGTTTGTAAAATGCGTTATTTAAATATATAGTAAATATATCCAACAAAGTAGAAGTGATTTTGATAGTTCTCCGTTTTGGACTGCGACTGGAATATCAAATAAATAATAGATATTCAAAATCGTATTAAACGAATCGGTTTCTTTTTCTTTTTTTAACACTACATATCGATGGCTGAGTGGAAGATCGACTTATCTGGACAGCCAATTCGAAAACGGCCTATCTCAGAAAACTTTTCGAAAATCCCCTACCCCAGAATTTGATTGAGAACGCCCTATTTCAGAATTTTATTGGAAAACATCCTATCTGTGAATTTGGTTGAAGAACACCCTATCTCAGAATTCAGTTCAAAAACGCCCTATCCCAAACGAAAATACATTAGGGCCATTCTCGAAGTCTTGCACGTAGCACGGAATATATCAAATGCAAAAATACTATTCCAAATTTGCAAGAGTACGAGAGCCCCTCATCGCAAAATGGTAGCATGCATTGGTAGAGAACAGCGAAGTTCTGTATCAAATACAATACCAAGATACAGCAGAAAAAATGAATTGAGCAAAATTAGAGGAATGAGAGAAATATGTAGCAATTCCAACAACAAAACAACTAGCACAGAGTCGCATTTATCTTGCTATGCTTTTTTGCTAACTATATACATGGGCTTCGACGTTGCACATTCTGCAGCGATAAGATATGATGTTTCCCATGTATTTTGTTGTTGTGTATTTGCAAGTTATGCGATATGTGCTACGTGCAACAACTTTGCGAAATTTCGAGAATACTCCTATTGAAAATGTGCTGGGATAGGGCGTTTTTGAACCGAATTCTGAGAGTGTCTTTTTCAATCAAATTTTAAAATAGTGCGTTCTTCAACCAAATTCTAAAATAGGGCGTTGTTGACAAATTTTCTGAGATAGGGCGTTTTCGAACTGGCTGCCGAGATAGGTCGATCTTCACCACGGCCATCGATATAGTCGGCTACAAAGAGAGCTAAATTTGATTGAGTTAGCGCCTTCCTATATTTTAAAGTAATGATATACGCCTACTGGAAGTGTCAAATGAAAATAAATCATTCTTTGTGAGCTTCTATTACCCAGCTTCACCCATTTGTTTAATGAATGAAATCTATTTTGTATGAAATTTAACGTGTTAGTAAATGTTTCGCGAGTGGGTTGGCTGAAAAAATCCTGACCCAAATATTTTAAATTAAATATTCAAACATATTTTTTTTTAATCTTGCACTCATTTGTTTAATGTATAAATTATATACCAATCGAAAGTATGCAGCCTATATAATGTGAAAACGTTGGGTTGTCTATTTTTTCCTGGCTTACCTATCGGGCTGGTAGATATGAAGAGGTAAGTAATACTCATCTGTTTAACACATTCTATAGGCTTTATGCTTTCGATTAGTATATATGTAATTTGTTCATTTAACAAATGAGTGCAGAATTAGAAAAAAAAATTATTTTTGAATATTTAATCAAAAATATACTGGCCAGGACTTTTTCAGCCAACTCACTTCCGAAATATTTCCTCACACGTTACAAATTCACAAAATAAATTTCATCCATTAAACAGAAGGCTGATGGTCGTGCCCTATTCGGATCTTCTCCTATATACAAAAACTCATTCTGCGACTACTTTCAAGTTCTTTGTGAAAGTCGAACTTTTTTTTTTCTCATTAAACTCGCCATTTTAATTTTTGCTGGTATAACATAAAACCATTAAAATACCTTTAAAAGTATATGAATGGAAAGAGTAGAATAAGACCAAGGACCATTATAACTTTTATATGTTGTATTTGATCAATAAAGTTGTGTAACTAAAAATATTCTTGAAGAGCTCTACTTTGAATACGTTTTGTTTAAAATCGTTGTGTGTTTGTACATTGCCGTCGTCATTACCCAAGGGAGTAAGTATGTACAAAGAAACCACTGAAGGAATTTATGTAGTCTTTTTATTTTCACGAGTCGCCTTTTTGATAATCAAAAATCACTCAGTTGTTTTGGTAATGGGGACAATGATGAACGTAAAGATTTGAAACCGAAATAAACTAATCTCAAGTTTAATAATTCGAGTCCATTTATTCGTTAAGCCCAATCTCTAGAATGGAGGTTACAGTACCGTAGGTATTTATGTATATAGGCGCCGACATATTCGGGCGTATGCTGCTTCGTTGATGTGGAGCAGTATTTTGCAGCGGATAAATTTCACTACACACTTTCGTAGCATACAGGAGCCTACTACTACTACAGA